ACAGAAGATGGAGACAATGGTGAGTCTCTTTATTTATAAAAAATATGAAAATGAAACTTTATTAAACTCAGTTTAGTTTGACAGAAACTTCAGTCAGATTTGAAATATTTAGAATAATCAACAGTTTCAGAATCAGTAGTAGTAGTAGTACTGGTAGTAGTAGTCGTAGTATTTTGTTGTTTTTATCACTGTCGTCACTTGTGTGTCCTCAGGGGGAGTTTGTGGACGACGGCACAGAGACTCGTTTCACTCTGGGCGATCATGAGTGTTGCATCAAGGCGACGAGCAGCGGGAGGAAGAGCGGCATCGTTCATCACTTCCTGTTGGATGGAGAGAAAATGTCTTCTCCTGCACAGTAACACCAGAGAGAGAGAATACAGAGAGAAAACACTGACTCTGTTTTATCTCCGATGTAGAAGTTCGTCTTCAGACACTTTAAAGTGCAGCACTGACTCTGTGGACTGTCCTCCAGAGCGTGGAGCTTTATTTTGAAGGGGCCCTACCTTTAACTTGTTAATTCATTTTTGTGCAGCCTCGTCTCATCACATATCTTTATGAATATTAATATGTCAAGTACACAGCAGTCGGTGAGAGGAAGGAATGAAGCTCGTGTGGTTTTCTGAATACAAATATAAAAACAAGATATTTCACACAAAATAAAATATGTGATGTTAAAATAACTGCATCAAGATTAATCTGTATTACGTCTGATGTTTATTTAGACTCATGTTGATATGATGATGTGGATTTTATTACATCAGAAATAATAAAAACAGAAAAAGACACAATAGAAGAAACTCAAAGAGACAGTTTGATATTAAACGTCCAAACATTCTGTGTTGGTTTTATTTGATTTTGAATTTACAAGTTCAGCTCAAACTTCTTAAAGTCGTTGAAGTTACTCGTGTTGGTTTTATTGTAAAATGACCAAAAGGTTTGTTCCAGATTCTCCGATTCTTTCTGTTTTGTTCCATTTGTCGAATCAAACTCTCTGAAACTGAACGATGCTCATGGTTTTTATGTTTTCTGACATTTTATCAACAACATTATTCATTAGTTCATTCATTCATTAATCGATGAAACAATCTTATGTTTTAGTTTTTTGTTGAACTAATGTAAATAAATCAAATATAGATAATCATACTGAAGAGAACGATTGGAGACAGACGCAGGACAGAGGGACCAGGGGGACCAGAGGGACATTTCAAGACTGGACATTGAAGAAGTTGTGTTATTCGTGGATGGATGACCTGGACAGGTGTCAGTGATGAGCTGTGAGCTCATCCAGTGTTTCAGGTGACCCGTCGTGTTCAGGGATTAATGACCTCACTCATCTTATTATAAACAGAACCGGCAGGACGACGTGCAGCCTCCAGGACGATACCAAGGAGCACAGGGACCTGATGGAGGGACTGGTCAACATAATGTGTTCCTCCGACACAGAGGTCAGAAAACTTTGTCTCCTCATGTGAAGAGGATGAAGAGGATGCTCCATAACTTCAGAGAGACATAACCATCACAATAACATAAATAAATAAAAAGAGAATACTCGACATGAAGACATTTAATGTGAAGAGAAGAATCAAATAAATCAATAAAGACACAAAATGACCAGAAAGAAACAAAACTAGGATTTTGTGTGAAAAACTTGTTCGCTTTGCTTCTTCCGGTTGAATGTCTCTCCTGTGGTTTTATTTTGAAAGTCCTACCGGAAGCGGCGCCGCTGTGCATTGCGGTGGTGACGTCACGGCGGGACCGTGCGGGTCGGATCATGGAGCTGTGCGGGTCGCGAGACGCGGGGACGATGTGCGGGACTCACCTGTGAAACACGCGCTGTGTACAGCACCTGCGGAGCCGCGCGAGCGCCACAGGGAATCGAACTGTGACCGGTGACACCGGGAGGAGGAGCGGAGGGACGGGAACAGCCTCCCCGACGAACACCCACCTCGACCCGCACAGTGAGGAGCGAGCCGCCGCTGCCCCAGCTGCTGCTCCCCCGCTGGAAGCTCGTGTCTCCGGCGGAGCAGCGTGTCCTCCCCGGGCTGCGGCCCCGCTCTCTGCCGGTATGTGAGCGGACTTCACCGGAGGAGCATCGGTGAGTCCCCCCCCCGTCCCCCCGCAGCTAGCTAGCGTTAGCCGGTTAGCGTTAGCCTCCTCACAACAAGGCCGTCTCCGCTGCTCCGCCTCGGGTTGAACCGCAGCTGCGTGTGAACGCGACTTTTAATCCGCATCGACCCGCAGACACTCGTTCTCATCCCGCACATACGCACACACACGGACAGATGTGCGGGGACCACCGCCCCGCACATCTGTCGCTGCACCGCCGTCTGGAGCCGGGACACACCGGGGAACAGCTGCCTCCACCGGGCTGCTGCTGCTGCAGCGTCCTGCTGCTGCAACCGGGACATGTCTCTGTTTACAGAGGAGGACATGTTATATTAATAATGATGATGGGACATGTCTCTGTTTATAGAGGAGGACATGTTGTATTAATAATAATGATGGGACATGTCTCTGTTTATAGAGGACATGTTGTATTAATAATAATGATGGGACATGTCTCTGTTTATAGAGGACATGTTGTATTAATAATAATGATGGGACATGTCTCTGTTTA